AAAGGGGTCTAGAAGGGTTAGTATAAGGGATCTTCGTGAGGCTGTCGCCCTTCCACTTGGAGGTCAATTTGGGTAGGTATTAGTGGGGTTGCAATTGTTCCTTTCAGGGTTCCTTTGGAGCATCTATAGGATTTAGGGTTTTGGGTAGGTATAAGTGGGGTTATAGGGGTTCGTTTAAGGGCTCTATAGGGTTTAGGGGTATCTTCGTGAGGCTGTCGTCCTTCCACTTGGAGGTTCAGGGGTTGGTCCTGAAGGGGTCTACAAGGGATCTACAATATAAGGGTTCCTCTACAGGGGTCTAGAAGGCATCTATAAGGGTTCCTTCAAAGAGGTCTAGAAGGGTTGGTATAAGGGTTCCTTTAAAGAGGGTCTCTAAGGGTTAGTATAAGGGATCTTCGTGAGGCTGTCGCCCTTCCACTCGGAGGTCATTTTGGGTAGGTATAGGTGGGGATGTAGGGGCTCCCTTAAGGGTTCCTTTAAGGTTTCTATAGGGTTTGGGGGTAGTTAGAAGTGGGTTTTCAAACAGGGTAACTATAGTTAGGGTCTCTTTCATGGGATCTATAGGGATTCCATAAGGGTATAGGGTTTCGGGCCTACTTGGAGGTTCAGGGGGAGTTATAAGTGGGTTGCAAGGGTTCCTTCAGGGGATCCTATAAAGGATCTAAAGGGTTTAGGGTTTAGGGGAGTTATAAGTGGGGTTCTAAGTAAGGTAACTCTACTTGTAACCCATATTAGGGGACTTATATCCTCATCTAGAACTACCCATGAACATCAAAGCAGTCTTTGCTTATCTTGTTGCAACAAACTTTTCCACGTGGATGTGTGCTCTTGGTCCTCTGCATGACCTCAAGAATCATACTTCTATCGTCATTATGTATATTTGTTGTGTGTCTTTTTGTCTCGTGAGGGGGGAGTCCGGTGCCAGGGTGTTGGGTCTGGTCCAGGTTCGTGTGGAAATATTATAAGGCAATGTAATACCCACATGCAGGAACTGCATTTCAGAGTATATGCAAACTCTAAACATCTCTAAACCCTGAAGCCGCGAGTCCTGAACCAAAGTCCTTCCTAACCTGAGCCCTACATCCTCAAACAGAAACTCGAAAAACCCTGCAAGCCCTAAGCGTCGCAGTGTAGTGCCTTGAACGTACCAGTCACGAGGTAAAAGCCGGGGACGACGCCGAACGGCGTATGGATGTAAACGTCAAACAAAGTCTTGACTACCACGTTGCGAAACGTCGACTTCTGGCCGACGTATCGATCCTTGATTAGTTAAAGGTCGGCGCATACAGTCTGAGCTGGAGGCGGAGGATCTTGGCGTCTCAGAAGTTTGACAGGAAACTGGGGCTTTCTTACTTCGACGTGCTTCTTCTAACCTACTTACTAGGTCCATTGACCTTTGAATGTTAAGTAGCCTGGGACCCACGCATGGTTCTTCCTCGCTCCCCCCCCCCCCCCTCCCGCATTTTGCGTCCATTTCGTCATCCTCTTCCCCTTCCCGTCTGTGGAACGGCCCACCCTTCGTGGAACAAGGCTCCAGGTCCTTGTATTTGGGAGGGATAATATTGGGTTGGGGGGGCCCAGAGCGCATAGCACCCAACCATATGCTTGCGCCAAACACCCAGCAGCGGTAAACCCTATCCCCTGACCCTTTTCAGTCAGGTTGCTGAGCTCGTTACGGACCGTCCTCGAAGCTACCAGGCTTCCTGACTATTTCAACTTGACTCTATCACCTCGTAACTCGAACCCAAAGAAGCCCCGGTGGAACTCCCGCCCTGGCAGCAACCCTTGCTAAGCTCTCACAGTTAAGGTGCCTCAGCGGGGGGGAGTCTTGGGTTCGAAGTGGGCTCCACTCCAGGGCAGGTATATGTGGGTGGTTGTCAATATTAGGGTCCCTTTTTGGGTCCTTATTAGGGTATTTTAAAAAGGGGGCCCTAATTTTGACAACCACCTATGTGGGAAACCAAGCGTCCATGGCCAGGTAGAGCCACTTGCAGGGTCCCCCATACCAGCACATCCCAAAGAATGCCAGACCGGCCGTCCGGCGGTAGTCGAGCCTTGATATACGGGCCTTAACAATTAGAATAGGATTTGGGTTCCGTTATATTACGATCATAATAAGGAACCCCACAATAGTGTTGGTAATCATTTAGGCCATCATATTACCGTGTTCAGTAAGAGCTTCCAGCCGGCCCTAACTAACCTACTAAGGCCTCAACCCTAAACCCCCAAACCCCGAAGCCTAAACCGTAAGAGCTTCTCCTGAGATGTATATCTCCTTTTCCGAGCAGAGGATAATTTCAAACATGGCTTTTTGTGGGGCTTCCAGGCTTTCAGGTGGTTTGTTTTAGGCCCTGTCTTGCATGTTATTTGCCATAAGGAGCCGCAGGGAAAGTAATGGCACCTGTCCTTCTTCAGGCTTTAATAGTTAGAATACGGTTTTGGGGGTTCCTTGTTATATTACCATATTAAGAGTGTAATCATATCAGACCTTGTTCTAGCTATTTAAGGCCCTACATTATTCGGTTCCTAAGAAGCATCTGTCGATATTGTTCGGTTCCTAAGAGGTATCTGTTGACCGGCTCGAAGACGTCACATAATGTCTGGATGATGATGATGATGATAATGATGATGATGATGATGCTGATGATCGTTGAGGGGGTCGTGGCGATGTCGGTTAGACGATGCTCTTTTTACAAGAAGCTACTTGTCGGGTATCATGGGGAACTAAAGGTTAACCTTTTTGGTTATATAGGGATTTTATAGAACCTTTTGGGTTATATAAGGATCTTATAGGGACTACACAACCCAAAAAAGGTTCAAGGTTACCTCCTCTACTGCTAGGAGAATACTTCAGAGTTTGAGGTGAAGGGGTTGTGATGCCCACAACAAGGCTGGAAGGCTATCCGGGCGAACCCAAAAGCACCCCGATCAAGAAATCTTGACATTGTTAGGGTTCCTTATATGAACCCTACTATTTTGGGGTTATAGGCCCAGGGTTTCTTAATCAGCCTCCTACATTAAAAGCAACCAAGCTACCCCTCCGGCCCGGGCTGCTGGATGACTCCCTGGCAGAAGACGTCCGCAGAAGTCATGATGACCGAGCTTGTGACTCCGCTCACCAAATGTGGCCATCGCTTGGCCAGCCCCGCGTAGCGCGCAGAGAGGAAAGCCATCGGGGAGATGCAGGATGGGTCCCAAGCGCTAACTTAGGGAAAACCCTGCAAACGTCTGCAGGCTTTCGTTGTTTCTTGAAGCTTTTGATTGGTTATTGATTGCACAAAAAAACAATGCTATAGTGTACGACAGCATGACAAACTATGATGTACTAAAACCTACTATAATAACCCCCACCTCCCCATCTCGAAGAACATGCGGCAGACAAGGAGGTCCCTAGGAGCGGAGAGAGGTTTGGGGCCCAGTGGGATTCAGGTTCAGGAAGGAGTATGGTAGAGGGCTTACGGCTCAGGGAGTATGGTTTCTTTTAAAGTGCAATGGCTTCTTTCTCTGGTTTGGGGCTTAGGGTTGACGGGGTTATGGTTTGGGGCTATGGGTTTAGGGAGCCTGGCATAAAGAAGGCTGTGGGCTGAGGCCGGGGGGGGGGGTCATGGAGCTCAAGAAACCTCTACTCATATATATATATATATATATATATGTACACACATATATATATGTAGATACAGACTATATAGACTTACATGTACTACATGATAGGTGATATAATATTATGTCATAAGTCCTTCCTTCGAAACTCCAAGCTCAGTGCTTTTGCTCAGAGTCTAGAGGAGTCATGAATAATCTGCTGTCTCTTTTCGTTATCTTACTGGTGCAGTCACCTAGGGGAGCTAAAGGTTAACCTTTGGGATTGTATTACAGGAATTCTAGTACAGGAAAAAGGTTCAAGGATACCTACCCTACTTCCAGCGCTAAGCAGTATAATACAAGAAACAATACTAACACCAATCGTACCGATCCAACATCTGATGCCTTGTAGCTTATCTTAGAAGCTGCCCCCAGCCTGTAATAGTGACTATAAGGATTATATTTGAGCCCTATTATACTCTCTTCTCCAATATCCAGGCCCAAACAAAGTTCAAACTTTTTAAGCTAGACCAAATATGTAAAGCCAAAAAGTTTAAAGTTCTCCAATAGGCTAAGTAAGTATATTCCTATTATGCCACTATTACAGGGTGGGGGCCCCTTCTTGAGCACTGGGCCCCCAACCCCCCGAGACTCCAGGGGATTGAAGGGCGCGAGCTTTCTTTCTAACACCGGAGAAGGGAGTTTCCGAAAACAAGGGGTACCTTATTTGGGGGTCCCTATAATAAGGATCCTACCATTTAGGGTGCTATATTAGCGTCCCCTTATCTCCGGAAACTCCCAGAAGGGTGCTAAGCAGACCTGTTCGAATAGGTCTTTGGGGGGACGCTACACGCCTATCATATCAAGGAACCCTAAGGTATAATGCTTGTACTGAAATTATTCAGGCCTCTACGAAGCACAAGACTGTAGGGTTGCAACATCAGGGTAAGTACTCATGCCGGGGTATATGCAGGCACCACGAAAACTCAAAACAATTGAATTCCCAACCTTAGGCCTTTAAGCCCTGCATCCCTCAAGCCCTAAACCCGAAATTGCTGAAATCCGAACACTCTGACATAATAGCTAGCAAAACAATTAGTAGCAATAGAATAAACACACGGAAATGATAGTGCTATTGACAGCAACAACAGCAATAATAACAATGTTTAGCAATATTCGCAATATTAACGACAATAATGACAAAAAGATACTAATATTAGTGCTCATGTTAGTCATAACACAGTACAGTAATAGTACGTAGTTGTAACAGACAAATGGAACAGCTATGGTTGCTAGTGCATTTTCATGTACTTGTTATAGTAGTAGTCATAGTAGTAGCTCTAGCAATAGCAATAGTTCTGGTAGCTAAATGTAACATTTCATGCACAAAACCACAGAATCAGAGCTGATGTTAGCGAGGCCTCACTGCTCTTCCACTCCTTGCGGGTGGTTTCATGTGGGTGGTTGGTCAAAATTAGGGTCCCTTCTTGGGTCCCTATTATAGTACGGCACCTATTATTTAGGGTACCCAAAAAGGGACCTTAATTTTGACAACTACCCATGTACAACAGAAACAGCTTCAATGATTAGAATAAGGTTTTGGTGGTATACTATACTATCCTTTATAATAAGGGTACCTATTTTCCTGCCACTCGGCTTTAATAAGGGGACCCTAAAATGCAAGGGTCCTTCTCAGGAACCTAGGATTAGGGCGGATCTGGAAGGTTAGACTATGTTGAAAAGGGCCTTGTAAGGTCTTACAGGGTTCAAGAAGGCTTGGTTGATGAGTTCGACAGGATTTCACGGCAGTGGCTCTTAAGAATTAGAAGCTGTTGTAGCGGAAACTATGTGCTTGACAATAGGGAGTGCTTGGAGGTTCATGGGCAGCTATAATAAGTGGGGTTTAAGTCCCCTCATATGGGTGATAACTATAGTTACCCTCCTTATAACCCCACATATAACTCCCCATGAACCTCCAAGTATCGGTTTGGGGCTTCAGGGTTTAGGGACTTGGGGCTTAAGTGTCCGGGGGTTCAGGCCAAGAGTTGGAGGGTCCCTATGTCCAAGGGTAAAAGGAGGGACCCTTCATAAGGACCCCTAGGTATATACCCTTCATATAGCTATCATATACCCATTATATAGCCCATTATAGGGTAGGGGTCCCCATTAAGGGTCCCTCCTTTTCCCCTTTGACTATGGTCCCTCGGCTTTTGCAGGATTGCCTTTCGTAGCAAGAATAGGGAGAATAGGGTGCTGGTACCTCTACCGTAATTACATAGGGCCTTCACGGGAATAACCTCACAGACTCCAGTGTTACCTGAACGCCCATAGACACCGTCCAACACCTCTTTCAATGCACGCACATAAACACCTACATTAAGCCTTCCTTCCAGCTTACAACAAGCAGGGCGACACCGCTTCTGGAGTTCTGCCGATTAGTTCTACTGTGCTTCAAAGGACTGGGTAAGTCGGGTTTTGGGAGGGTGTTCATAGGAGCTTTTGTAGAGCTTATACGGGATCACAGGAGTTTTTACAGGGCTTACAAGGGATCATAGGAGCTTTCATAGGGCGTATAAGGGATCGTCAGGGCATACCATGTGCCCCAGGTCAAGAGGCCTGATCCAGTTGCTCTGTTCGTGCGAACCGCAATTCTGCCAAGTTTCTGTCCATGCTTAGAACTAAGAGCTTACAGTACCCTTCTTCTACTCTAACATGGACCAAACCCCTTTCGGATTCTCAAGGTGCCTGTATTAACATGGTGGTGGGAGGGCGCAGCGTACCACAACCAAGTTTTCTGCGGGGTGTTCGTCCGATCAGAAAGATTGCGCACCACACACACACACACCCACCCACGCAGCACGTTGGATTTTATGGTGGCTTCCAGAAAAATTCAACTCTCAGTCCCCCCCGCTCTCCCTTCTCTCCCACCCTTACCCTCCATGGTGCAAAACCGTAAACCACGAAACGAGGAAGCCCCAGAGCCATAAAGCCTTGCAGCCTTAAAACCCTCAAGTCCGAAAGCCCTGACCACAAGAACCGCTGAAGCCGCATACGCCCTGGTATATGAGCCCCAAACCGGACTTTTACAGACTCTTGCGCCCAACGCCCTGCAAAATCACTGCAGAATTCTTGAAACACTTGGCAAATCCCTACAGAACACCCACAACCATGGAAGTGCCTGGAGTTGGGAGAGCACGCGCTCACTTTGCTCCAGCAGGGAGGAAGCGCCCTGAAGATTTACTGTAGAAGTTCGAAACGTCAAAGTTGGGGTACGTTACATTCAGAGTAGTCATAGTCACAGTCGTAGCCGTCGTCGTCGTAGTATAAGCAGTAGCAGCAGTAGCATTCGTAGCAGCGGTAGCAGTAGCAGCAGCAGCAGCAGCAGTCGCAGTCGCAGTCGCAGTCAGCAGGGGTAGTAGTGGCAGTAGCAGTAGCAGTAGCAGTAGCAGTAGCAGTAGCGGTAGCAGTAGCAGTAGGAGTAGGAGTAGGAGTAGTAGTAGTAGTAGTAGTAGTAGTAGTAGTAGTAGTAGTAGTAGTAGTAGTAGTAGTAGTAGTAGTAGTAGTAGTCGTAGTAGTAGTAGTAGTAGTAGTAGTAGTAGTAGTAGTAGTAGTAGTAGTAGTAGTAGTAGTAGTAGTAGTAGTAGTAGTAGTAGTAGTACGTAGTAGTAGTAGTAGTAGTAGTAGTAGTAGTAGTAGTAGTAGTAGTAGTAGTAGTAGTAGTCGTAGTCGTAGTCGTAGTCGTAGTCGTAGTCGTAGTCGTAGTCGTAGTCGTAGTCGTAGCAGCAGCAGTAGTAGTAGCAGCAGGAGTAGTAGTAGTAGCAGGAGTAGTAGTAGTAGTAGTAGTAGTAGTAGTAGTAGTAGTAGTAGTAGTAGTAGTAGTAGTAGTAGTAGTAATTGTAGTTGCGGTTGTCACTTGCTTGTGAAAGTCAAACTCCAATCCCGGGCTTGGCTAGCACCAGTATCAGTACCAGTCACTACCACACTACTACTGCTGCTGCTGCTACTACTACTACTACTACTACTACAGAGCAACAGCTGTTGAGGCTTCCTGGTTGCAAGCTCGGAAAATCTTGGGGCTCGCTGCCTCGTCATCAGAGCTCAGGGTACTACCCAGGATCCAGAAAGTAGATCCCCTAATTTGGGGGCCCTATACTACTAAGGGTGCTTTGTAGGAACCCCCATTAAGGGATCTACTTTTTGGATCCTCCAAAGGGGGTCTGGGTAGTAGAGTTGAGGATGTAAGGGGTTATTTTGCGGGGCTTGATTCTACTTGGAGGTTCATGGGGAGTTATAACTGGGGTTATAGGTAAGGTAACTGTAGATATAATATAACCCATATTTGGGGACTTCTACCTCCCCATGAACCTCCAAGTAGGGCATCCTCGAAATCGGCCGTAACAGAGTCGTTCGTACTGAGGTCGTACTGAGGTGTGTGGTTCAAGAGCTCGGGGTCAACAGCTTTGGAGTGCCCACTTTCAGTACAAGGGTTCACGGTTTGGTGGGGTCCTTCTCGCAATAAGCTTGCCTTTCAAAAAGCACACCGGCACAGAACGGTCTATTATAAGGGTCTTGTAGCAAATTTGATCTACAGACTTTGTTCTTGGCGAGTGCCAGGTCTAGCAGCTTTGGGGAAAATCTAGCGCAACCTGAAGAACGAAGCTCTTTTTCATTGTTCGGTGAATGTATGGGGGCCCCATCAGGGATACTTCCAGTGCTCGTATTCAGACCTCTGAATGAAACGATCTCCCGGGATTGCCGGACCTGCACGACGACGTCATCGTCAAGGCCTTAGAGCTTGCACCAGCCCGGAAACGCAGAATTCCGCATCTGAACATGAATCCTAAACTAGAACTATGTGTGAGTTTCCGATATTAGGGGTACCCTATTTTGGGGGTCCTTATAATAAGGATCCTACTATTTAGGGTGCTATATTAGGGTCCCCTATTTTCGGAAACTCCCATGTGGGGTTTGTTACAGTGGCCTCAATCCCAAACGAACAAAGCCAGGCTTGTGACTCATCTTTAAGTTTTACCGAACAGCCACAAATTCTACGAAACTTATGGGCAAATCTCGCTCTGTTTCAGTTTCAAACTTATGGGCAAATCTCAGTATCAGAAGTCATGGCGAGATTCGAATTCCGCTTAGTTTCACGTGATTTTAATGATGTTGATTGCCCTCCCTATCCTGTGGTTAATGGTCATGTGCAAGTTTCTGACATCTTATAGGAAACAACGTAAGGTACACCCCTGAGTTGCTGGATAGCTGTGGCTCTCGCGCGTTGGAAGAGTCGGCCGTAAGGTCGCGGCTGCTCACCAGGGCAGCTTTCCAGCTGGCGGCGTCCTCTCGAAACGTAGTCGGACACATGCGAGGGTGCAGGGCTGCAATAAACCATCGCAAACTTATACTGAAAGGTTTAGGGTTTAGGGTCTAGCATACACGAGCAGAGTCACCCCTCCCCCCCCACACCACCACAAGATCCACGACACAAGACTGTGAAAGCTCCGGTCTGAATCCCTCACCGCCCTTCTGTTGTGACTCTGACTCTGAACCTCAAAGCAAACCTCACGTCAAACTCAAGTTTAAGAACGAAGCCCCTAAACCCCCGTAAGCCCGAAGTCCCTCAGCCCCTATGCCAAACAGCCCGTCAAGAAGCAGAGAAGTACCGGCACAGCTCCTAAGAGCCCTGAGGGTTACGAATTTGAGGGGGTTTCGCAAGCCAGAGTCCGCAATCTGCAGAAGGTCCAAATCCGCCAGTTTCAAAGGACAGAACTTCTTCGGGCTCTTGCTCAGGAGTTCTTCGTGGCTGAGTTCCTAAGCCCCCCCCAAAAAGTGTACACTTTCAGCTTTGTAATGGGTATTATTATCCTAAGAAGTGTAAGGTGTACCCACTCAGATACTAAGACTTTAATTAAAGCTACCATAACAGTTATCTATAGCACATACTGTGGTTTCCTTATTAACGTAACCTAACTTTCATTCAATCTCTTAACAAGAACACAGAAACACACTTTAGGTTGGCCCTTTAAAGCCCCGGAAAATATTCGTAAATAGGGTCCTATTAGGCCCAATAAGGGAAAATACAACATGTCCCAAAGCCTACCTCTTGTGGGCCTGCGCAGCGCACGCGCAGGACTCGGAACAGAGGCCGAAATCGTCAAACACGCAACAAAGGTCCAAACAATCCCAACGACATTATGAAGTATGACATTTAATCCCACAAGTCCTAATATTGCAGTCCTCATCAGACCGTTAGCATCAGACCACCTCAGCACCAATACACGTGTCACTATAACCCTACAACCCACGTACTGAGCGGCATACCCACCCTCACGAAACCACAGAAACACCGTGAATCTCAGTCCCCACCACTAGGTGCTAAAACCCTAAGACCGTTAACAACCTTCAAACTTCAAAACCTGATGTCGCCCTCACAAGAGCCTCTCAACTGAACTCTACAGTCTCAATCATAAACCTTTTAACACGTTATATATCCCTTGTACAAACCCTTTAGACTTTATAGTCTACATCCCCAAGTTCGAAACCTCTCATAACACGCCTCACTAACAGAATAAATTTAGAAGCTCTAAACCCCAAGCCCCGTAACCCAAAATCCTAAACCTAAACCCCCTCTCCCAAGAAACGCCCCTGGCGTCTCGGCTCCTGTGCCCTGCCAGCGGCCTGAGCCTATCCACAAAAGCTTCCGTCCGGGTTCCTTTAAAGGGATCCAAAAGGGATTCTAGAAGGGTTCCTTTAAAGGGATTTATCAGGGATAGTTATAAGTGGAGTTATAAGTCCCCTAATATGGGTTATAACTACAGTTACCCTACTTATAACCCCACTTAAGCTTCTTGTCAAGGGCTGTCTGGGTTTTCTGCCTAGAGCTGCCAAAACCTACGCTTGGTAGGGTTCCTATAACCTCTACATTCAGGTTTATAATAAGAACCTGCAGCAATGTAGGTTATGGTCGTTTAAGGTAAGGCTCATAACCTGTATTCCTGTTTTCATCAGGATGTTGCGGAACCAATTTTTGTCAGGGCTTTGTATCTACCGTTTCCTCAGACAGTCTTATTGCCCCCACGGAACCCAGAAGGATCCTAGGGATCCATGAGGTTATGGTTTAGGGTTGTTTAGGGGTTTCGGGGTGTAGGTGTTTAGGGGTTTAGGGTCGCTCAAGGTTGCGCACATGTTGTGCAGCACGAGGATGGCTTAGTTCGGAATTGATGCTTAGCGTTCCTTCTATAGCATATGGCGCCCTCGACCCCAGGCCATGAACTCAAAAACTTGAACCCACATCAGAAACAACGCGCCTCACGAAACCCTCTCTCTACACGAGAAAGCCTTTCCGGAGCCGCTGCTAAACCCTGATAGAAGGCCTAGACAAGCCTCACCAAAAGCTCCGCTCTAAAACCCCCTGGCTCTAAACCCTGAACCTCCAACCTTGGACCCTACACCCTGAAACCCTAAACTCTAAAGCCTCAACCCCAAAAGCCTTGAACCCTAAACCGTCCATTCCCTACTTAGGAACCAGACAGACAGTACGTAACCTTATTTGGAGGTTCATGGGTAGTTATAAATGGAGTTCTGAGTCCCCTAGTCTGGGTTATAACTACAGTTACCCTACTTAGAACCCCACATATAACTCCCCATGAACCTCCAAGTAGGCCCTAAACCCTATATCCCCTGTTGAATCCCTATCCCTATAGATCCCTCAAAAGGGACCCTTAAAGGAACCCTTATAACTCCCCATGAACCTCCAAGTGACAAGTATCCAGCAAGTAGATCCCCGAATTTGGGGCCCTATACTACTAAGGGTACTTTATAGGAGCCCCCATTAAGGGATCTAATTTTTGGATCCTTGACCTAAGCCCTAAACCCTAAAACCCTATAGATCCCTTAAAGGGACCCTTAAAGGAATCCCTAAAGGAACCCCCATTAAGGGATCCAACCTTACCCTCCGAGAGGGAGACCTCGAGCAGTTGCCGAACTGCAGCAGGGATCTGTGCAGAGTCAGGGCTCCGAAGGGGGTTTTTGGGGGTTTCTGGAGTTGTTGAGGGATTCCGGGGTTTCGGATGTTTTTGGGTTTTAGGATTCCAGGGTTTTCTAGAGCTTTAGTTTGGGGTTTTAGGATTCCTGGGTGTAGGAGTTTTGGGTTTGGGATTCTTTGGCTTAGGAATCTGGGGTTTCGGATTCTAGGGTTTAAGCTCCTAGTTGGGGTTCCAGGGTTTAGATTATTCTTTTTATTGGCCCTTTTCCGTCTGCACTTGCATCCGAATCCCCGGTTCCGAGCGAGCCTGGTTTCTTAACCTCTGCAACCCAAAGGGTTTAGAGTTTTAGGGTTCAGGCTTTACCCCATTCCCCTGCTCCCGTGGGTTTTGGGCTTTAGCGTTCAGGCTGGATTGCAAGCTCGTGTTGCAGGGTGCGGAATGAAAATGCATACAAGGGCTTACAGGGTTTCCCCAGAAATCCCTATACCTCTTAATTGAGGACTATACCCCAGTTATAAAGGCCTTATGATGTTATGATTTAAGGTATACTCCTTAATGAAGGGGTATTGGGTTCTCTGGGTCTATCAGGCTCTTCTAACATGGCGGTTCAAGGCTTCAAGGCTCATAAAGTGAGGCTTCGGAGGCTAACGATTCGGAGTTTTGGATTCGGGGTCTGAGGCTCTGGATTGGGCGCTAGCTTTTCCAGTATCCCAGGGAAGCTGAAGGTTAGCCTTTGGGATAATTTAGGGATTATATTACACCAAGAGCTTTAAACTTTCAGGCTTACCTACCTACCCTGCACCCTACCCTAAACCCTAAACCCTAAACCCTAAACCCTAAACCCTAAACCCTTAAACCCTGAGACCTCAACCCTAGGTTACCTACCCTACTACTCGGTTTTACTGCTAACCCTCACGTAGTCACCGGGATGCGGATAAGGGATGTACAGCCCAGAATTCCCAATACCCCTTAATTAAGGAATATAGCTTAATTATAGAGGCCTTAATAATATGATTTAAGGTATACTCCTTAATTAAGGGGTATCGGGTTCTCCGGGAGTACCCTAAACCCTAAACCCGGCCTCACGCCCTAAACCCCGAATCGTAAACTCCTCGGGGACTCGGAGCCGAGAGAAGAATGTTGGATGCACGGCCCTCTTAGTGCATAGGTTTAAAAAAAAACCGATGGTTCTTTTTAAAAAACCCTGTGAATTATTGCAGGGATGATTTGAAAGCTCCACCACCGCAAGGCTCTTTGAATGCTCGAACTGATAGACAATGAGCCCACACCTCCCCCGAAGCAACGTCAATTCGGCAACGCAGGCCAATGATTCATATGCCTAAGTGAGAATTGGAACCGGGCTCCTTTCCTCCTATTGTAAAAGAACAGCACCTTCGCTTTGAACTTGGCTCCAGTTGCCTCCAGGTGAAGGTCCTCAAGAAGCGAAAGCAAGCCGCCGGAACTTTGCCGGAGCACCTGCAGACCGCAACATGTAGGAGTTTAGGGTTTTAGGGTTTAGTTTAGGGTTTCAGGCTGTAATATGACCACGGTGTATCAAGGAATCCTCCTACCGCTACTTGCTTAGGTCTACTCAAACAGCAGTTAGTACTGCCAGCAATTGCTTGTCATAACTACAGCAATATGAGGGGCCTTCATTTTCAGGATAAGGTTTGAGGCATGTTACACAGTAGCTATAAAGAGTAATCAGAGAGCCCGAGACATGACAAGGAGCACCTTCATTCACTTGCCCAATATCCTAGGGGAGCTGAAGGTTAACCTACGTAACCCAACAAGCCTGAAGTGCGACGAGAGTTAAGCTGCGTGCCCAGCGAAAGGCGTGAGACGAGCTTGGCGAATGTGCGAATTAATACAGTGGCCTAAATAATTACTACGATTATGGGGGCGCCTTATCATGAATCCAGTTTAATGGGCGCCCAAACCCTATTCTAACTATTAAGGCCCCTATATCATAGAGCTCTTATAGGATCCCTTATAGTAACCCTTATATAGAGAGCCCTTTAAAGGAACCCCTATTCTAACTGTTAAGGCCCCTATACTACCCATGACTGCTCCTGTGGACCTGGTCAGGATTGGGCAGCAGAAGCCCTAAACCCTAAACCCTATTTAATAGGATCCTACTATTTCGGGTACTATGGTAGGGTCAGGATTGGGCAGCAGAAGCCCTGAAAGCTCCAAAAACCTCAACCGAGCCTCGCTTGGCATTCTTCAGGCCCCTATATCATAGAGCCCTTGTAGTATCCCTTATAGTGGCCCTTATAAAGAGAGCCCTTTAAAGGAACCCCTAGTCTAATTATTAAGGCCCTCTATTATAGTACTCTTAGAGTAGAATCCTTATAGATCCCTTTAAGGAGCCCTCTAAAGGAACCCTGTAGGTAATTCTTGAGGCCCCTATATTAGGCTCAGGAGCTTCGTGAAAGGCAAACATGCAGCGGACGAGTTGCGAGTAGTAGGGCTGCGACCCTGAAATGGCCAAAGATTACCTGCGCACCCTAAACCCTAATCCCTAAACCCCTAAACCTTAAAACCCTAAACCTTAATAAACCTTCAAACCCTAAGGGTTTTAACTCTAAAACCCTAAACCCCCAAAAAAAACGATAAACAAAGCCAAAAATCCTAGAGTCCTCAACACTAAAAACCCTAAACCCTAAAACAAAGCTAAAACAAGCTAAAGCCCTTAACCCTGCTATGAAGTTCAACTGCTGCCCTACGGTTGATGATATAAATCCTGCATTAATTACTCATAATAAGGAATATACTATAATTCCAGGTCTACTTGGAGGATCGTGGGACTTAGTAAGTCAGGTTGTAAGTACCTTAATTAGGGTTATAAGTAGTTATAAGTACAGTTACGCTAATTATAACCACAGTTACTAAGTCCCATGATCCTTTAAGTAGGGTGATGCAGGATTTATATCAAAAACCGTACTCTGGAGCCAAACCCAGCTCTCAGTTTCGAGAACTCCTGGTGTTCAGCAGCATGCAGCAAGCGCACATATTCGTAAACTCACGGCTGTCATTGTTAGTGTATTACCACCCATGCTTTCTAACTTCTACTACGATTATATGTACTATATGTACTATTTTCTGCTATTCTCACTGCTACTATCATTGTAAAGGCCATCGCGGTCGCGAAGTCAACCGAAATCAGCATGTAGATCGCGGAACTAACTCAGTCGAACGTTTGATCTGAGCCCCTCGTACCATAGACTCAGGACTGTTGACATTACCTTAAGGACCCTAACTATGGGAATTATGGTATATTCCTTGTTATGGGTAATGCAGGATTTATATCATCAACCGGGATCTCCCGCAACTCCTCGTCGACCTCCCCAGACACTCCAATATCAATATCTCTTTGAGGAATATGCCTGCAATCATTAGTAGATAAGATCCTCTTAAGCCCAATAAGGGAAAATATAAAATGCCCCAAAGCCCTACCTAGATTATTGTGATTTGAGGCAGCTTCCTTAATTAATCAACATTGGAGTCTCTGGGTCTCTGCCCACTGACCTGGCCAGTGGCGCTGCTTTTCGCCGCTTCGAGGCCCTCTCATCGCCGTTGACTCCACGCCTACACAGGCCTCCTACAACGAAGGTGCTTCAAGATAGCCCTGAAACCAGAAACCCTAAACCCCAAACGCAAAACCCCAAAAAACAAGTCCTAATTTCCCGAGCCCCAAACCCCAGATCCGTTAGCGCCAACATCCCTAAAGCCTCAACCCAAAAATCCCTCCATGCATTCTGCGGCGCCGGTAGGTCAGAGAAGGAGGAGGAGTTCTCAAAGCGGTCGAGGAGCCTTTTTGATTTTGGGCTCATTCAGCTATAAGGTTTTGAGGGTTCCTCTGAGGGTATTTGGGTATCAACAAAGGTTTCTATGGGGGCACCTATATGAAACTATGGGTGTAGGGTTGTGAGATTTTGGGCTTTTCAGGGCTTAGGGAGTCATCGTCAGGGTTCGGGGTCTTGGGTTTTTGAGGGGTTTCGGGCTTCGGCGGTTTAGTTTCCCTATGCCTGATTTATGACCTACGCAGAGGATCTGCAGTCAGCAAGGGTTTGATTTGTTCGTACTGGGTTCTTCGAAAGTTCTAAGAACTTGGAGGTTCATTGGTAGTTATTACTGGGGCTATACGTAGGGTAAGTGCAGTGATAATCCCTATTCGGGGACTTACAGCTCCATTTATAACTACCCATGCACCTCCAAGTAGGGTTCAAGAAGTCACGCTAATCTTGCTTGTCACCCTACAAGTAAATTATCCTACTCACTAGGTCCCATAAGGCTCAAGTTGCGGGGGGTACAGGAATCATGGGAAGGGGAATCTAGTCAGGGTCAAGGGGTGTAACCCAAAATGTTGACCACGAGTATATGGCCAGAATAATGAAAAATGGGGTTTGCGCGCATATTCTACTCTGATTCTATTATCAACGAAGACCTAAGAAATAACATGGGTAGCTTGTCAGGCGTCGTTATCAAGCCCTACGCCACACCCAAAACTCTAAACCCTAGGCTCTACCCTCTGAGGGTCTGGGGCTAGGGAGCGGAACATCTTTGATTCGCCCTGTGCTTTACAGCCCAGGATGTGATGCCATGAGCTTCTTTACCTTCCAGTATTCTGGAGACCTCAGGGTGAACCTTCAGGACAACAGTACCTCTAGGTTCCTGAGTAGCCTGTTTATTATAAGGGTACCCGGTACCCTGGTTCCTTCTATTCTGTTTTAAGAAGGGGACCCTAAAACAAAAAAAGCAAAAGAGTCCTACACAGGAACCTACACCCCAAAGGTAATTAACCTACCCTGCTATGAAGTTTCTGGAAAACAAACATGAACTGTCAACATCTCTAAGGAGGTTTGCCGACAAATGTTTGCCTTCTGTTGGTGCGACGCAACGGAAGAAGATGTAAGCCTCGCTACTCGAGGCAAGCCCCTTAGCTTGTTGTAAAAGAACCCATATTCTCATTAAGCGCTGATACCCAACCACTAAACCATAAGTCAGAATCGTGATATGAATATGTGTGGTTGTCAATATTAGGGTCCCTTTTTGGGTCCTGATTACAATATGGCACCTAATATTTAGGGTACCTCAAATGGGCCATGATTTCGACAACTACCCATATGGTTTCTGAAGCCCAAACCAACTTGAGCCAAGAAGCTCCGTTCCGGTGCAATCCACACCGGAAACCGAAACTGCTTGCCTTTGCTGGTGGGCAGTCATATTAACATAGAGTTCAGTGTTGAGGGTTCAGGGGTTTAGGAGATTGGGGTATAGGGTAGGGGCCTTAATATTCGGAATCGGGTTTTGCGCTCCATGTTGCTTTAGAAGTCTTCAGGAAAGGATAACCCTCAAGAACCTGCGACCAGGATCATGGTTTCTGCGAAACTTGCTCCTACTAAGCTTCTTCTTCTGGTTCCCCAGCATCACTTTTATGATAAGGGTGATCGCGACTGCTATCATGGCTGTCTTTAATGTGGTAACAAAGGGGCCTTAACAATCCGATAAGGGTTTTGGGGTGGGTTTTGGGGTATACTGTACTGTAGTAGTTTTAATAAGGAACCCCAAAATAGTATTGGTAATTATTTAGGCTCCTCTGTTAGGGAGCCTCGACACGCGAGTGATTTCGCACACACTTTCGATCCCTAGCCGAAATCCCAAAAACCCCGAGCCCAGCAAGTCTTGCGTCGGGGGTTCTACTGCCGTACGGGCCTTCATAATTAGAATAGGGTTTTGGGGTCTTATGATTAAGGCCCGTATATTACTTGGTGTCGATTCCAACAAGTCTCAAATTATTCAAGTAAGAGAAACCTATACCCCCCCTTAGAACCATAATAACAATAACAACATTTTTAAATAAATTCCAAAGGAGACTATAGAAACGATAACGCGGGCCATAAAAAAAAAAAAAAAAACCTTGCGAATCTGAGTCCGCGGGCCCCTCCAGCTCCTAGCAGCCCTCCTTACTTGTCCAGTATCATAAGGGGTACTATCAAGGGATCCTAAAAAGGGATCCTAAAAAGGGATCCTATAAGGGATCCTAAAAAGGGATCTTTAAGGGGTACTATCGTCTGTCTGGTTCTTAGTAGGGAATGGGGGAATGGATTATGGAGACTACCATTGGTTAAAATATAGGGGCTACTATAAGGATCATGGCTAAGATAGGAACCTGATTAAGACACCTCAGGCCTTTATTGGGGTTCCTTCTATGAATCCTACAATTTTAGGCCGAGGGTTTCTTCATCAGGTTCCTACATTACTTGTCCAGTACCATAAGGGAACTAACAGCTAACCTTGAGATTACATGATTAGGTGGATATACTACCCCAAAACCCTTTCAAGGTTACCTAACCTACTACCAAGCCTTCGAAAGCTCATGCCTTCTTTTAGGTAGGCTACAGCAGAGTCCGCTCCAGAATCTGCAATCCGGCAGCGCTTTCCTGAAGGCTGACGGCTTCGGGGGTTCGGAAGTTTGACCAGCTGTGCTTTGTTCACAGTTTGGTAACCTTGTAGCAAAAGGTTCTTTTGTATCGCCCCGTTTTGAAGGGTTCCAGTGTGTAGGGTCTATGTAAGGGTCCCCAAACTTACGCCGGTTGAAGCTCCCAACCCGAGCTTGGGATTCGAGGGCTCTTCTTCGGGGCTGTACAGAGATCGTTTAGGCTTCTTCTAGGCTTCAGCGTTCTGGCAAGGCTGTGTAAGTTCTGGCTTCGGGTCCTCAAACCTCAAGCGGTTAGAGCGGCAGGACTCGAGGCACCATTAAGCCATCAATCCTGAAGCCCCATCCCTTCAATCCCATAAAGCACAGGAATGATTTATGAAGCCCTTTGCAAGCTCATAGAAAAACGCTGCAGTCAACAAAACAATGGTATACAACGCTTCTCGCAGGATGCTTCTTACACCATACCCTGCAACAGGCACTTCCTAATCCCTAAATCCTAATCCCAAAACCCTTAGCCCTAAACCCCCAAATCCCAAAACGTTGCGCCCAAAAGCCCCGGTCGCTGCCCAGCGGCCCAAGCGACGCCAGACAACAGTTCTCTTAGGTCGGCCTTCGAAGTCAGGGATTTCGGCTTCGGGGTCTAGGGCTTTAGGAGTTTAGGGTTTAGGGCTTCGGGGGTTTAGGGTTTTTAGGGTTTAGGGCTTTAGGGTTTAGTTTAGGGTTCATATGATAGTGTATGATGCTCTCGCATGTGATCATACAATAATACAATATGATGACAGTCGAATAATAATACAGGTTTAAGTTCCCATGATAGGGGCGTTGGGGTTTTGGGGTTTAGGCTGAGGCAGAAAGCTTTAGGGCTTCGGGTTTGGGTTCAGAGATACGCGGTTTGACGGCTTTCGGGGTTCAGGGCTTTCGGGTGCTTTAGGGTTCAAGGCTCCAGAGCAAAGTTTCAGGTTCAAGGGTTCTTGATTGCCGGGGGTTAGGGCATTTCGTTTCGCGTGTGAGCTTTTAGGCTTTCTTAGGGTCTTTGCGTTGGGGTTGCTGGATGTCCGGCGTGAGGGCTTTAGGGTTGAAGGTCCAGGAAACTCCAGGATCGTTGTGAGGCTTCAGAAAGGTGTGCGTGGATTGAATCACCGTTGCTTGGAGGTATTTCAGGCTGTGTGCAGTTTCCATAGATTGTTGCTCTTGAAGTGTTTGGGATGTAATTCATGTTGCATTTCAGTTTAGCATCCCCTTACGGTCCCCATATACTATATTTTTGCGACTGTAGTGCGACATATCCCAAAGCCCTATTCGAGGGTAGGTGTTGTCGCAGATGCTTTCAAAGTCGGCGGTGGCCGCTATGAAGGCACTGTTGCATGGTGTCGGGCTGCTTTACGCTCCAGGCCCAACAGAAAATTCTGCAGATAGACGCACTCGAAGAAACCTCGGGACATAAACATTCAATTTTGGTTGTTCGTGTTATTATTTAGTGTTGTCGCGGGCTCGGGGTTGACTACTGTTCCGGGCGAACCTTGCTAGGCCCGAAATGGCCCTATGAGACACCATAGTATGCCTGTCAGTCCCTGTAAACCCTGAAAATTCGAGAATAACCGGCATATCCCGCTGAAAGCATGAGAATTCACGAGGATGAGTGCAGACTCATGGAGACTGGCTAGGCAATGTGAATTGGAAAGTTTATACGGAGTCTGTGACCAAGGTATAACTCTAAAGCAAGGCAACTGCAATCCGGTTCAACAACTAGGAGTTTCATAAACAAAAGTGCACCCCTGATCAATGGCCACATGCGGTATGATCCGTATATATGTAAACACTAACACTCTAAACTCTACCTTAACCCCAAATAACCTACATTTGGAAGCACTTCTATATCTCTCTCTCTATATATATATATACATACATACATACATACATACATATACATATATATATATATATATATATACACGTACATACACATGCCCATAAGGACCCCGAAATGAGGTAGTCTCGGCTTCGGAAGAAGAACCCTCTGAAGCCCTTCGAAGGCGAAACCCAATTCTGCGCCCAACTGCAAGAGCCCCAAGCATACCCGGAGACTCCAAAACCCCTCATATAATTGAGGAATATATCTTAAATCATACTAGGGATCCTATCATAATTTATGATGTATTCCTTGGTTGAGGGGCTTTGGAGGCTCTGGGTACTGAGAGGATCGGGTCTCCTGAAATTCCAGGCCCTGAGTCCTAGAGGCCCTGAACCCCTAGAGCTGTGAGGCCCAACCCTCATAGGGATCCTTAGGGGTGTAGGGGGAGGGGGGGTAGGGGGCCTTAAGGCCCATAATAAGGACTAATAAGGCCTATTTCAGGAAATATAGTCCCCTACACCCCTCCCCCCTACACCCCTAAGGATCCCTATGAAACCCTGCAGCTGTAGCTCCACGAACCTTGAGCCGAACTCCCAGAACCCTAAACCCCAAACCCCACCCTAGGGGGCCTAAACTCATTACAACAGGGTTCGGGGGTATACTATACTATGGTTATGATAAGGAACCACCAAAATCTACCGCACGAGGCCGAAAATAATTAGGGGGTATACCATACTATAACTATAATAAGGAACCCCCCCCAAAATAACCCTAATCTAATTCTTCCCTACACGCCCTATCTCCGTCCTGCTGCAGCTGCAGGGAAAGCCCTGACAGGCTCTCGACCAACAGCGCCCGATTGGCGCCAAGTTGAGCCAAGACCTGCCCAGAGAGCCCTTAATCCCCTTAATTAAGGAATAGGGCTCCTTAAAGGGCTCCTTAAGCCTTAAAGGGATCTATAGGGGTTCTATAAGGGAATTATTAAGGAATAGGGCTTAAATTATATAGGGCTTCATGTTATGATTTAAGCTATATTCCTTAATAAAGGGGTATTGGGCTCTCTGGGTGTTCGGCAACAAGAGACTAGGTTCATGCGGTTTCAATACGGAACCTAGAACAAGAGATTAAGGCGTTTCGTTAAGAGATTCTGTTAGACGACACTGCAGACTGGACCAGACTAGACGAGACATTACCAGGATAGACGGTAATAATAATACATGGGCAGTTCTCTTACCTTTCAGGATACTTTTTACCAGGCTGTCGACTCTTTCGGTGACCTAAAGAACAAGCGCTGATTTAGCGTCCACAAGGGCTGAGACCGCCACGCGTGGCGGTAGGATTCAGGGATGCCTGAGGGCAGGAGCGGGCGCTGCGGGCGCCTCTGCCAGGTGGTATGTATCCCAGCCTGGATTTTACAGACGTCAGTGAGGTCTGCTTGCCAAAGCTGTTCGTGGCAAGCCCATCGCGGAGCTCAATAGGCCGCAAGGTACACTGCCAGAAACGCCAGGCTCCAGTGAACAGCAATGTCTCGGCGCACTGCAAGGAAGCGAGAGCCAATTGCCAGGCCCAAAGGCCACGACCACGACGAAGCCGTGTCAGCCCGACTAAAACGAATCGGAACGGTGTCCAGTGCCGGTGGAACCGGGTAACCGCTGCCAACCGACTCCGGGAGATCCTTAACAGAGGCACCGGGCTCAGCCATATCACAGAATCCTTTAAGGGTCCCTTATAGAACCCTTTAAGGAACCCTTTAAACAGGTACCTCCTACTCTTCATACGGCACCCTATAGTTTGGGAGCACCAAAGGCACCATAGTTTTGACAAGCACCCATATCAGACTACCCTAAACTACCTTAAACTCTAAACCCTAAACCTACAACCCTAAATCCATGCTTTAGGGTTTTGGGGTTCAAGGTTTCGGGCTCTTGGGGCTTTTAGGGCTCGAGGGTTTAGGGGCGACTGCGTGAACTATCTGAAAGGCTGCCCGGCATCCTTCGCACTCTTCCGTACGGGTTTAGGGTCTGGGGCACAGGTTTCACTGTTAAGGTCTAGGATTTGAAATTTTTGGGCTCAGGAATTGGATTTTACCACATAGCATAGAGTTCATGGTTTAATGTATCTAAGATCTACGGTTTGAAAGGTTGGGATGTAGGTTTCGGGTTTACGCCAGCCTGCTCCTTGACGGTGGCCACCCAGTCCTGCACGGACCGGCTTCCGCCCTTCTGGGGTTTTGGACTTCTGAGGGGTTGAGGGCTTCAGGGTTTAGTTTTTTTTTTAAGCGCCCCTTTTTCGGTTTAGGGTTGTAGGGTTCAGGGTTTGAGGGTTTAGGGCTTTAGGGTTGAAGGTTTTGGCCCCCCCAACAAGTTAACCTTTTAAAGTATTTCTTGCTGCTGTGCGAGCCTTGGCTCGGACCCTCCGAGAGCCCCAACTTCATGGCAGCACGCCTTTGGCTCTCACCTGCTTGAACATCATCCCATTGCAAGCAGACATTCTCATAACTCTAAACCCTTCTAGAGCCCTTTAAATGAACCAAAATAGTACCCTTATAGTAACCCTTTTAAAGCACCAAAAAGTCACCAAGACCTGCTCAACCTTCACCAGCTCTTGAATAGAACATGCTCGCGCCTGTAAAGCTTCAAGCCAAGACCCATGAACCCGGCCAGGAACCCTTCAACTTAGGAAACCCCCAAAGGCCCTATAATAGGAGCCTAAATAATTACCAGTACTACTCTGGGGGTCCTTATTTTGGGGACTCCTTATTGTAACTATAGTACAAAATGCCCCATAATTCTTAAGGCCCTAGAAAGTCCCAATCTCGTCAACCCTGAGTTTCGAAATCCTGATCCGCAATTTACCGAGCTTCCAGCCCTCCCCCTGGTCCCCATATACCGTATCATCTACCCCTTCTACCCAGAATTCCGGGGGATCTGGAAAGTAGATCCCCTAATTGGGGGCCCGATACTATTAAGGGTACTTTATAGGACGCCTCATTCAGGGATCTACTTTTTGGATCCTCCCCCGGGGGTCTGGGTAGGTTCGTGCATAGCGGCTCTACAAACAGGGTACCCTTTTGCCCACTGTTCGGTTCCAATAAGGGAACCCTAAGATAAAAAGGGCCAAAGGGTCCTACTCAGGAACCTGGTAGACCCTAAAGTCCTATAGATCCCTTATAGAAACCGTTATACCAGAAATGTAGTAAGCACCCCCCCTCAAAACAACAAAATGTAAATCATTATTTCGACCCCTATATAACACTATAGTAACCCTTCTCTCGCACAGAAGCAAAGACCACCCACCCACCCCTTCCCGAAGAAAGGGTCTCCTCGAGGCGATCCGACGCGCCGGCGATCTTCCTCATGGGTCCGAAGCAGGGCTTCAGAGCATGAGGGTTCAGGGTTTAGGGTTATGGTAAGTTATAGGGTTTAGGGGTTTAAGGTTTAGGGGTTTAGGTTATAGGGTTTAGGGTTTTAGGGTTTTGGGCTTAGGGTCGAGGGTTTCGGGCTTTCTTTAGGGTCGAGGGGTTAGGGTGACTATTTGAAGGCTTCAGAACCATGAGGGCTGTAAGGTCTCCTAATCTAGTACCCCAAATAGTAGAACCCTCACTATAAGGACCCCACCCACGCCCAGGGGTCTGGGCAAATAATTCGGAAACTCAAAAGTCTGAGCTGGCCTGGGCTCATAGTCTCCCCTTGTAGTAATGCCGGGGCTTTAATGATGAGAAGAGGGTTGCCGTACACGCTTGCTGATGCCACTGTTTCTTTCGACTGGTGTGATACCCGCGCAAAGCCAACGTGAAGCCGTCAGTACCGGGCAGCGGCTTGACAGGATTTTTGGATTCTTTGCGCATGCTGCGCATCGTGGGTCAACCTCTAAACAACCCCCTTACAGTACCCTTGAAAGCAACCCTTAATGTTAGGGCCCTAAACATCTAGAATAGGGTTTGGAGGTATACCATGATCATAATAGGGAACCCCCAGAATACTATTGTCAATTAGGCCCCTACTTGGAGGTTCATGGGTAGCTATAAACGGAGTTATAAGTAGGGTAACTGTAGATATGACCTATATTAGGGGACTTAGAACTGCATTTATAACTACCCATGAGCGTCCAAGTACAGTAATCGATACCCCGAATCCCCTAATCTCCTGAAACCCTAAACCCTTAATCCCCTGAAGACCCTAATCGCCTGAATCCCCTGAAAGCCACCATAAAACCCTACACCCCGAACCCAAACCCTAAACCCTAAACCCTAAACCCTAAACCCCAAACCCAAACCCTAAACCCTAAACCCTAAACCCTAAACCCCAAACCCTAAACCCTAAAACCCAAACCCTAAACCCTAAACCCCAAACCCTAAACCCTAAAACCCAAACCCTAAACTGCACACCCCGAAACTCCAAAGGCTTGACTTGGTCTGGGCGTCTTCTCCACGGCCCCAAGAAGCTCAGAGGCCTTGGTCTTCACCTGCTGGGTTTAGGGTTTTAGGGTTTTGGGCTCAGGTTTGAAGGGTTTGGGGTTTAGGGTTCAGGGTTTAGGATTTAGGGGAGGCCTTTGACTTCACCTGCTAGCCAGGGCTCTCCTAAGATTTCGTTAAATGGTTTCTATGGCTTTATGGGCTTGTTGAATGTTTAGGGTGGCTTTCTTGCAACATGTGTATGGGGCTTTATGGTGTCTTTAAAAGAGTTCCTTTGGGGAGTTTAGCGCTTAGGGCCGTGAGGGCATTTAGGATCTGTAAGGTTTAGGGTTCAGAGACGGCGGTCATAGGTGTTTCTTGTGGCCTCATATGGCTTTTATGAAGCTTTACAGGGTTCTTATGGGCTTTCATGCATTGTTTAGGGTCTAGGGCTTATTTCTTATGGGCTGACATGGCCTCGTGAAGTCTTTACAATTCTGATGGATCTTTTTTTAATTCCTGTACATCGATTTAATTCGGGCTCTACAAGGGCTCTCCGCGGGACTCCGATACCCCTTATTTACGGCATATACCTGAGCTCATAGTAAGGATCCTGCTACAGTTTAAGGTATATTCCTTCATTGAAGGATATTGGGGCTGTACAGGCTTCCGAATGGGGCTCAATACCAGCTATACAAGGGCCTCGCTAGGATTTATGGGGATTGTGTGCGGCTTCTTTACATTAGGAGCCAGCAAGTTGGAACATGGATTCAGGAGGATTAGTGCTAGGATCCCTTATACTTTACCTTAAGGGCATGGGGATAATGATGTTCCAACTTTCTGGCTTCTACTGTACCAGGGTCTGATGAGGATTCCGTGACAAGTTTCCACAGAGCTGTCTCTGCCTTCCGGTCGGTGGCCAGGCGCGTGAGGAAGCCTGGGGCAAACTCTTCTAGCCAGAAAAGGAAACCTGCACCTGCAAGAAGCCATTCCGTCCTTGTCCTTATGTTATCTTTGTTGAGTTTTATCAGGGCTGTTGCATTTTTGAAGGTTCCTTCGCCAAGACAGCTCTTCCACTCATCAACGAATATCCCTTGAAAGATCACTCTTGAAGGATCCTACAAGTGGTTCAACGTGAATTACGCTTAGTAGTCTTTTTTGCCATTCGTGCTATCATCATCATTAGTTTCTACTATGATTCTTATCAACATTGGGAGTTTCTGAAACTAGGGGACCCGAATCTAATATCCTAGAAAGTAGAACCCTTATTATATGGACCCCCAAATATGGTACTCCTAATTTTTGGAAACTCCCAATAATGATAAGAATCATAGTAAAAACTAATGGTGATAATACGAACAAGAAAAAAGAATACTAAACGTAATACAGTTTAAGCCACTTTGAAGGGTCTTTCAGGAATTAGTGTTTCGCAAGTGGAATTCAGCCTTTGGCTAGTTTGGGCCCAGAGACCCTGCTGCGTCGCTCAGGGTTCCGGGCTTTCGCGTTTATGGGTTCAGGGTTCAGGGTTTGGGGTTTAGGGTTCAGGGGTTCAGGGGTTAGGGTTTAGAAGATTTCTGCCTTTAAACCTCCGCGCTTCAGGTCTATATAGTTGGCTTAGGGTTTACGCTCATCGGTAGGCGCAAGTGAACTTAAGCCTCCACCATAGGCACAAGCCCTGCAACAATTAAAGGCCCGATGGATGCCGACGAGCACAAGTAGGTGCACTGCACGCAGGACAGCGTCGCGCTACCTCGCCTCCGCCATCTCCGCCACGAGTAGGCAGAACGCTCACATGCTCGCTTCGCTCAAGTGCCACGAGTCCGTGTAGAACTCGTGGCCTGGTTCCGACAACATCCCCGATTGCTGCGCCGTCCGACTACTCGCCTGGCTCGCGGCCAGCTTCGAGAATGTCTGCCATTTCCTCCACCCTGGTCTCGGCCGCGGCAGTGATGATCTGCGCGTGGCCACTCGCGCAAGCTGTGTGGTCTTTCGGGAAACCGTACCTCATACTTGGCGAACCGGCTCATATCCTGAGAACGTTGCTCAGGCTCCGATGGTGCTACTCAAGAAGGTCCAGAAGATTTCGCGGGATTCTGTCACTGAGCATGGAGCAGTGGCAATCAAACCCACCTGGCAGGCCTGGCTGTGTTGTACAACTAGTTACTGGAAGGAGAGACGTGCAACCGAGGCTGGGGCGAACACGTGGAAGTTTGCATTGGCCGCAGATTGCTTGCTTAAACCAAAAGCTGCATTGTCCATTGGCATCGCTGCCAGCCTTTCATTCGTTATTTGCTGATTACGACTAGAATTTTACCATTTTTCCAGCGGTAGCACTACTAGTTCTACTGGTACTACTATTAGTACTACCACTAGTACTACGACAACTACTTCTGCTACACGATTACTGCCATGAATATCGGTCGTGCTGAACGCATGAGTACGGCCTCTCTTTATGTTGAAATCCATCAACAGGATTCGCCAACGTTTCGACCAGGATTCTGCAAACCCAAACCCTGCCACTGTCTCTTTGCAGCTGTTCGGAAAATGTAACTCACGTCCGCGCTCACACTGCAGCGGAATCCTGGGCGAGCGGTTGTGCACGACGCATTGCCGCAGGTCATGCTTGGGCGAGGACATCTTTTGCTGTCTCCTGACTCAGGACAGACAGGTTGAGCATGCTAGGAACGTCCGCCTGCTCTAGTTTGTTTATATTCCCTCTGCCCTGGCTTTTTCCTTTTCCGTCCTTCCCTTCTTCATTCCTTCCTTCCGTCCTTGCTTCCCACGGAAGAGCCAAAAAAAGGGCAAAACAAAACAATAAAAGGGCCCCCAAAAAATTGGGTCCCCCTAAATAACTCTAAACCCTAAACCCTAAATCCTAAACCCTAAACCCTAGATCCTAAACCCTAAATCCCTTATAGAACCCTTTGAATGGAAGCCCAAAGGCACCTTGACTGTAAGTCTAACGGGGTTTGGGGTCAAACACTAAACCTACTTGTCGGGTATCATGGGAAATCAAAGGTTGAACTTTTTGGTTTTCTAGGGATTATATAGGGACTATACTACCCAAGAAAGGTTAAAGATTACCCACTCTACCACTAGGTAAACCCTAAGGCCCTTGTAGCAGTGGCTCCTCAGTGGACTATACTGAACTTAGAACCCTAGCAAAAACTATAATTTTTAGCTGTTTCTTAGGGATTCTAATAGCCAAAAATTAAAAAAATATTTCTAAGTACCTCTAAGTGGAGGGGCGACGGCTTCGCTGCTGGACAGCTTCGAGCTGGGGCGAGATAGCCGTCTCCTTGAGGCTCACGGGATCTACAAGGTTTAGGGCTTTGGAATTAAAGGTTTAGGGTTTAGGTTTTTGGGGTTCAAGGTTGAGGGTTTAGGGCTTTGGGTTTAGGTTTTTGGGGTTAAAGGTTGAGGGTTTTAGGGCTTTTGGGATTAAAGTTTCAGAGTTTAGGGCTTTGGGATTGAAGGTTTAGGGTTTTGGGCTTCAGGGCTAAAGGTTTAGAGTTTAGGGTGTTGGGGATACAGTGACTTTTTTTAAGCCCTGAACCCTACCTTACCTTTTTAGGGTTCCTTATTATGGTTTCTATATATAGTTCCTTAAAAGGGTAGGTCTTTTCGGCTACAGGTAAACCCTAATTCGGGTTTAGGGTTTCTCAAAGGGTGAAAGGAGGGACCCTTAACAAAGACCCCTAGGTATAGACCCTTAATATAATCGTTATATACCCATTACATAGCCCATTATATGGTAAGGGTCCCCATTAAGGGTCTCTTTTTTCCCCTTTGGGTTTCGGGGCTTCAGGGGTTCTAGGGGCGACCGGCCGCTAGGTTTTCACAACAGGGGGAGGCCTTCATGATCGGGCTAGGGCTCCTCTTATACTGGGCTTGAAGTAACCAGGGAGAACAAAGTATAGGTTTTTTTTCATAATTGGTTCCCTTTAAGTAACAGGTCCCAAAAAAGGTATTAAAGTATGGTACTCCAAAGCCCAGTAAATCTTCTTACCATACACAAACGGGTAATGTAGGAACCTGATTGAGAAATCCTGGGCATAGAGCGCCCAAAAATAGTAGGATTCATGTGAGGAAGCCTAATAAAGGCCCAAGGTTTCTGAATCAGGTTCCTACAGTATCCTTTCTTGCTATGCAGACTTGGACCATCTTTTTTTGCATGTTGCTTCGGATCAAGCTTCGGGCTGGATTTTGGTTCTGTGAGAAGCTATTTGTTTCAATCCGGCCTTACTTGACGGGCCAACCCGACCAGAAGAATTCAGAGATTGGACCCCATCTCAGTACCAAAAACAAAACAGAGAAAGCTTAGACTTGGTGGGTTCCGGTGTGCCGCGTAATATGTTCAGCGAGTGCCCTGAGGAATCCGTGTTATCTTTAAGAAAAATTTAAAATGGTTCTTGGTCGAGGATTAATGCTCTAAGCCGGTAGGTTCAGGAACCCTATTGAGAGGCTCAGGGGACTTGGCAGCTATCTTATGAGTAGAGATATGCGTACCCCGATTGCGGCTTGGGATGGCCGTGGAGTTTTGGTGTTTGGATTTGCAGTTCTAGAGGGCCCAACAAAATGGCAAAATGATATGAACCAGGGACCGAGGCTTTGAGAAATCAAACTTTCACGAACAAGCCAGACAAAACATCATTAGCACCTTATAAACCCTATGAGTGAAATGGCAGACGACACGATGAACCCCAAAAACGACGAACAACACTATGACACGGCTAAAGCCCTTTAAGCGGAACGGGATCTCAACCCCCCTCCCCTAAAACCTAAACCCTAAACCTAAACCTCTCCTGGAGGTCCGTCAGTTGCTCCGCCAGCCTCTTTTGGCCCTCCAAGAGAATCCGCCCAGCCTCGGCAGTTCGTTCTTCGGACTCAGATACCCAAACAGGCTTGCTTGGAGGTTCGTGGGTAGTTATAAGTGGTGATATAAGGCGCCGGATGGGTTATAGCTATAGTTACCTTGCTGACAACCCCACCAATAACGGTTTAGGGTTTAGGGTTTAGGGTTTAGGGTTAACTCCCAATGAACCTCCAAGTGGGGTTTAGCACGCTTTGGCAGCTTTGAAATGTAGGAGCTTTGGTTTGTGGGCTTTGGGGCGGGGGGGGCTTGCGGGAATGGCTTTCGACGCTTCTGGGTGTCACCGCAAACCCCGCATAAACCTAATGTAGGGGCCTTACTAATAAGAATAGGGTTCCTTTAAAGGGCTCTATATAAGGGTTACTATAAACAAAAACTATAAGGGCACTATAGGGGCCTTAATAATTAGAACAGCGGTTTGGGGGCCCATTAGACTATATGTATAACAAGGGCCCTGTAGTGGGGTTTTTTTGCAATTTACTAGGGGTTTAGGCTCGGCTCTAGCACCCTGATCTCTGTAAATCCACCAAAATGATCCTAAAGCCCACAGACCCTGCATGCTGAACTCTGAAAGTATCCTTAAAGTATTTTTTCATCTTGCTTGTACCTTAATAGCACCCTTGTTGGACTTTTTTAAAGAGCTGTTAGAGGACTCCTTACCATCTTGCGCGCCCTGAGCCGCCAGGAAACCTTGGAATTCAGCAGCTCCTGCTGCACCTCGAGGAGATCTCCCTGACCTTCGCTCTTGCTTGGGGTTTAGGGGTTTTAGAGTTTAGAGTTTTAGGGCTTAGGGATTGGAGAGGTCATCGCGCTCTCAGGGTGGATTTTGGGGTGGGGGTGGTGAGGCTTAGGTTCGACTTCAGGTTCATTGTTATAGGGCTCTGGGATGGGCTGAGGGGCCCAGGTTTCTAGTGGATGAGCGATTCTGCAAGTGTTCCTACAGTAGAAGCCCAAAAGTTGGAAACCCCATAGCCTCAATCCTTAAGAGTAATGTATAGGGAATCCCAGCACTATTTGGCCTTAACTAGGTTTCCAACTTTTTGGGGTGTACTGTAATCTAGTCTCGGAGTTATCATAGGGATCCTTAGGGGTGTAGGGGGGAGGGGTGTAGGGGACTATATTTCCTTAAATAGGCCGTATTAGTCCTTATTATGGGCCTTAAGGCCCCCTACCCCCCCTCCCCCTACACCCCTAAGGATCCCTATGAAGTTATCGGAGCAAGGAGCATCAGGCCCACCAGCCCATTCTAATTCTTACAGCCCCTGGATTTATACCGAAACCGACCGCACCCCGTAGAGGCCCCTAGCTCCGGAAATCACCGCCCCAAACATCATATACGACCCTTATGGGGGTTTCCGAAAATAGGGGACCCTAATATAGTACCCTAAATAGTAAGATCCTTATTATAAGGACCCCCCCAAATAAGGTACCCCTAATCTTCGGAAACCCCCTTATAAGCCCACCAAGAGATCCCCAATCGCCAAGGCCCCCGAAACCCCTGACGTGGGTGGTTGTGAAAATTATGGTCCCCTTTTGGGTACCCTAAACAAAAAGCGCCGTATTATCTTAGGGACCCAGAAAGGGACCATAATTTTGACAACCACCCAAGTGGTCCAGGCCCAGAAATCGTACAGAGATCGGCAGCCTGCAAGAACACATGGAACCCTTGTACCCAGACCTTTGGGAGGATCTAGAAAGCAGATCCCCGGCCCTATACTACAAAGGGTACTTTACAGGAAACCCCATAAAGGGATCTACTTTTTGGATCCTGGGTAATTCTAGCACACCTTACTTGGAGGTTCATGGGTAGCGATAAGTGGAGTTATGAGTCCCCGAATATGGGTTATAACTATCGTTACCCTGCTCATAACCCCCACTTATAACTCCCCATGAACCCTAAAGATCCTCAGCCCACTTCAATAGCCCCTTATAGTAACCCTGAAGGCCCAAGTATAGAACCCCTAGAGATCCCCACCATCCAAAACAGCGATCTTTCTGTAGCTAATTCGTGAATTCCTAGGCTCAACGGAGGAGGCCACAAGGCTGGACACTCAGGGCCTGCCCTTGCGAAAGAGTAAGCAACCGCAGTAAGGGGGATACGAGACCCGTACTGCTTCTACTGCTACTACTGTTGATGATATAAACCCTGCATTACCATAAGGACCCTGAACCTGACCTATGGGAATTATGGTATATCGCTTATTATGGGTAATGCAGGATTTGTATCATCACCCGTACCACTACTTCCCCTCCTCCTCCTCCTTAGTAGAAGAAGTAGAAGCGCAAGCAAAAGCAAATGTGGAAGTAGTCTAATGATGACGAATATTATATAAATCGCTGCATTATTGTTACCATTGCTTCTGGTCATCATCATAACCATCGTTATCTTCACTGTCATGAGGATGGTCAATCTTGCTGCTATATCGGAATAGTCGGAATAGTGTTGTTGCGATAACAAGAACGAGCCTAAGATCAAACGAGAAGCAAAAACATGCAAAAACCTGCGGAAGAAGGGAAGCAGGCCACGAATCACACAAAACCGTAGCAACAGCTGCCAGGAGTATCATCGAAGTACTAGGAAGGATGGCAATACGACGGTTTGCTGTGAAAGGTCAGGCAACAACAGTAAAGGAACATCGCATACTTGCTTACTAGGCCATCACGATGCAGGCACAAAGATTTTATTCACAACATCCCAGTTATACATGTCCTGCAGCATGGCAGTATAGCTCTAAGACAATAGCACTGCACCATAATGCAGGAAGCAAGCTTCCAGGGAAACACACACACACACACGTACTATGATTACACAACAATTGTGTAAGTATTCAGAAACGGAAGCATGCAACAACGGATCTTAACCAAGGGCTTTCGGATCGTCGGAAAACCCTGTGATCTAAACGAACTAATGCATGAGTGGGAAGGACAGGAGCATAACGATGCAGCCACGCAGGATTGTTCTCATGATCTGAGACATTGAGACAATAGAACGCGAATACGATAATCTTCCGTCTAACAGCCCGCAGAAGCAAGCGCTGCAGTTCATAATGAAGCAGAAACCCTTATAATCCTTTTGAAGGGACCCTCTCTCCTACTATAGTCTAGTATAGGGGCCTCAACGATTACCAATACCATTTTGGGGCTCCTTATTACAATTACAGTATACTGGGCGCCAACACATATTCTAACTATGAAGGCCCCGAGATCATAGAGCCCTTTTAGTATAGTAACCGTTACATGAGCCCTTTAGAAAGGAACCCCTATTCTATCTATGAAGGGCCCTAGATCACTTACTCCCATTTCCTATACTGAACTTAGAACCGGAGCAAACATTACAATTTTAGCTGTTTCTTAGGGATTATAATAACCAAAAATTAAAAAAAACTAAGTTCCCCTTAAGTTTTCGCTTTCGGAAGGGGAGGCCAGGGTCCCTAGAGGACCTCACCGGCTAAGAAAAACGAGGTGGCCCGGAGGGGGTGAACACTGGCTAATGTTGGAACCTAAAAGGGTTGCTTTGAAGGGTGCTATAAGGGATCTACAAGGGTTACTATAAGGGGTCTATAGGGCTACTATGAAGGAAATGTAGGAACCTGATTAAGAAACCCTGGGCCTTTATCAGGATTCCTTATATGAATCCTACCATTTCGGGGTTATAGGACCTGGGTTTCTTAATTACATTAAACTGGATGATCAAGTTCTAGGGTATAGGGTTTAGGTTTAGAGTTTGGGTGTTTTGGTGCGTTTTAGGGTCTGGTGTTTTGGTGCAGGGTTTAGGTTTAGGGTTGAGGGTTTAGTGTTTAAGGAGCGCTAGCATGGGATACGATAATATGACTAGTAATACAACATGACCATAACAAAACATAGAGCTATACTAGATGATACGAAATGAGACTTGAATACGGGATACTAGAAGATAACTACAACAGAACAAATTTGGGTAGAACAAAAGAACTGTGCTAAGTGATACTATATGATAACCTCGTATAGTATAGTACAATATGATGACCGTAGAATAAAACCATAGGGTTCCTAGGTCCCCCTTTGTAAGAAGGCTACCCCGGTTTTCCTACTAACGATTCGGCTTCAAAAAGGTGGCCCTAAAAATACAAGGGGCGAAAGGGTCCCACCTTGGAGCCAAGTTGATCCTAAACCCCCATAGATCCCTTATAGAAACCTCTAAGGATCCCTTTTCGAACCCTTTCAGGAACCCTTTTTAAAAGAACCTACTTGGAGGTTCTTGGCTAGTGATAAGTGGAGATATAAGTCCCCTGATTTGGATTATACCTATAGGCACCCTACTTATAACCCCACTTATAACTCCCCATGAGCCTCCAAGTAGGCCCTAAACCCTAGACCCTTATAGATTCTCTATAGATCCCTTTAAAGGGACCCTTAAAGGAACCCTTATAACTGCTCATGGACCTCCAAGTAGAACGTGATAGGACGAAGGACACCTCTTAGTTGCTGAGTTCATATGCCACAAAAAGTGTACACTTTCAGTTTTATAGTGGGAAATGTTATCCCGAAAGTGTAAAGTGTATCCACTCAGCTACTAAGCCTGATAGGACCCTTTAGGGAACCCTTTAAAAAAGGATAGAACCCTTTAGGGTACCCACTCAGCTACTAAGACCCTACGCGCTTCAAGGAGGGGTTTAGGGGCCTGTTTAGGGTTTGAGGGTTTCTCGCTCAGAAGCAGAGCTGAGTGTTCTTTAGGGGGGGGGTTTAGGGTTTAGGGTTGGGCGATTTAGCATTGCTACTTGGCTTTCTGTGGCTGTCTGTTTTATTTTAAACGGAGGGCGGGGGTGGGGGATTTGGTTCATGGTGCAGAACTTCGGTGCCCCCCCCGAGCCGTATGGGGGTGAAGGGGTCGGAGCCACCTGCATCACAGGCCATGAGCACCAGACGTAATATAGGGTTAGGGTTTAGGGTGTAGGGTTTAGGAGGGCTTCAATAAGTAGCGAGGGGTTTTGCGGGGCTTTCTGTAGGGGCCTGAATGGCTAGAACAGCATGTTGGGTATAGCCCGATATAACTACAATATGGGAGTTTCCGATAAATTAGGGGTACCTTAATTTTGTCTTCATAATAAGGATCCTACTATTTCGGGTACTGTATTAGGGTCCCCTATTTTTCGGAAACTCCCATATGCATCCCTGAGCACTAGAAGTGCTCATTCTTCGACCCTGGTTCTAAGAACTACGAGCGCTTTAGGGACATGAACCCAAAGCAGGCTTCAGGTCAAAACCCCATATGGAGATGCAGCATAAAATGCGTATGTATATACATATAGTATGTATGTACAGGTACAGCGCTCCTACTATTGAGGGCCATGTGTTCCTCAGGGTACTTATAAAAAGGGGGGTTTTGCAGGGATATCTTCTAGAGCAGATACCATAACTATGTGGGGGACTAAAAGGAGATAATCTTACGAGTATTTTCGACCCCTAAATTAATAGAGGTGCCTTAATTTTTAGAATAGGGTTTGGAGGCTCAATAAACTATTATTACAATAAGGAACCCACAAAACAGTATTGGTAATTTGTTTTAGGCCCCTATAACATAGAGCCCTTATAGTGTCCCTTATACTATAGAGCCCTTTAAAGGAAGCGCGCAAAATAGTATAAGAAATTACTAAGGTCCCTATACTAAACCACCCATTTTTACCCCTTCTAGTCGTCCTTCAAGACTCCTTTAAAAGGAACCCTTAAAGGGACCCTAGTCTCCTCCTTCCTGGCCCCT